TTTACTAACAATATAGATGTGTCCAAAAAAAAACGTTTAGGGAGTAAAGAAAATGGAATCAGTGTTATATAATAACAAAACACAGTAAAAAGGTGACTTTTTTCAGAGAAATATATTTTCAATCTGAGTATGAACAACAACAACAAACACAAACCATGCAGCTATTTAGTGAAAACAATTGCACAATTTGTCTTCTGCAACAAAAATACAAACAGTGCAAATGATTCACAAACTACACACAAAATGAGTGGGACTAAGCGTCAACAATAGTTCCCCGTTTGGCTCAGAGAAACGAAATGCATTGGCTGCTGACGAATCAATGTTGTCAAAATGTGATGACGTAATCACGTGCGCTGTGGAGCCTCTGAATATCCAAATAAGACAGTAAGAGAATCTCCACTTTACAACACTTTTTAAAGCATTCAGATAGGATTAGCGATTCAAAAGTTATTAAACATTTAATGGGGTCATCAGATGCTCATTTTGCACAAGTTGATATGATTCTTTAGGGTCTTAATTAAAAGTCTATAACATACTTTGGTTCAAATTTCTCAATGTTAGCGTAAAAAACACCTTTTTAAACCTGTCAAAATCAGCTCTGTTTTTATCAAGCCATTATAGTCCATGTTGCTTTAAATGTTAATGAGCTCTGCTGGCCCCGCCCCTCTATAACATACTTTGGTTAAAATTTCTCAATGTTAGTGTAAAAAACACCTTTTTAAACCTGTCAAAATCAGCTCTGTTTTTATCAAGCCATTATAGTCCATGTTGCTTTAAATGTTAATGAGCTCTGCTGGCCCCGCCCCTCTCTTCCGAGCTGCTCTCAGAGAGACTGTTTACTTTAGCCGCATTCATCGTGAAACTTGCTAATTAGCACATTATTAGGAAAGGTGATTTGCAAAGATTCATTAAAAACCCTTATACTCACTTCTTCTGTAGATGAGGCTGGATCACGAATGATTAGAGCGAACATGGATGCATTTAGGCTGATCGGGAGTGGCGCATTCACTTCAAAGCAAAAGTAACGTTAATCCTCTGCTCTTCAGCAGCTCAGATGTCCGGAGTAAATGACGATTGCTATATTCATTATTACATCCAACAATAAAGCACCTCAATCGCTTAATCGGAGACATCTTGTCTTCCCCTGCACCAGAGTCAACACAATGGCGGACTGATGACAGCTCACTCAGGGTGGGTCTAAGGTAAGACACCAGTCCAGTCTGTGCTGAAACACTACTGTCAATCAACTATCGTGGGAGGGGCCTGTACAGAACTACGTCATTCTGACAGGAATCTCAGAACAGCCTGGTTTGAGAAAAGGTATTTTAAAATAGGGATTTAAAAAAAAAACACTGGATGGATTTTTATAATTATAGGATGGATGTGTACACACACACTTCCAACATACATTTATGTTCAAACAACTTGAAAAGTGAATTTTGCATCCAATGACCCCTTTAAGAACAATAGTTATTTTTAGCCGTGGGCAGCTGTCTCGGTCATTATCCAATGCCTATAGTAAGAGTAAGACATGCTAATATAACTGGAAGAGTGTTCTGGATAATACCTGAAGCAATACCAGTATATCATAACAGTCAAAATATTATGAAACCTGACTATCATATAATCTTAGTGGGGATTTAGATGATCAAACAGTAATGTATGCCCCTAAAAGTTTATGGAGAGTATTACATTATGAAAAAGACAAAGATCCAAGAGTTAAATTAGTAATGAATGTTGGATGGTCTAGTGTACACACTAAAATAGATTATAATATTAGAAGAAATGACCTTAATCAGGGAATTAATAGGTTGTTAGCAAAAAGGATTACAACAAATTTACCCATATTTATGGGGAACATGTGGAATTTCAATAATCAGGAACAAGGAAGGTGTATGCCACCTTACCCGTGGTATTGGATGGTAGCAAGATTACAATATGCTGAAAAGAATGTAGGATACAGGCAGTGGACTACAGAAGATTGGAAAGATTTAGGTGAACGAATCACACAAGGATGGATATTAGTGGGCAAAGGATTAGAAAAAAAACAGTATCTACAGTGATAGATGTAGGACAAGAGCTATTGAATACATTAATGAAAGTGGTCAATTGGATAACTGTGTTACTGATAGTAGGAACAGTAATAGGAATATTAATAGTGGGATAATTAACAGGTTTTAATGGTATACTAAGGCATTTGCTGAAAGTTGTTTGCTGTTGTGCCTGCAACATCCTGAATGATAAGAGAACAGATGATGATGAATATGAAATCAAGGAGGCGTTGCTACAAAAAGACAGGAAAGATGTCAATATAAAAGCAATGAGAAGCATAAAGTTCAGACCTAGAGTCTACTAACCTGTTGAAAGAGCTATAGAGAGACTAGTGAGACTTTAGAACAAACAATGGCAAGCAACGTTACCACAACCTTAGTAACCTTATGGGATTACTGGTAATTGAATCCAGTTTATTCCTTTGGATGTTTATTATGATTTGGTAAAACATGAAAATAAAAGGAACAACAGGAATAGTGTTGCTACACATGATAAAAACAGTGTATAGAAAAAGGGTTATGGGATATGTTATGATAATTTTGATTTACCATAGCAAAAAGTTGTTGACAATGTTAAGATATTTAGAAAAACTTGTATGGTTTGGGGAAATTAGTAGCCTTGCATCATGCTTATAGTCATGTATTTGCCTGAAATGTGGTTATATGCAATTATTACAGAGGAAGTTGTACTTGCAGGAGTAGTGGTTTATACAATAGTAGAAGTAATTGATTACCAAAAAGTGTACTAATAGCAAATGGAGCGAATGGAAAGTGGTAACTTTAACTAAATGGATAATTGGAGCAACTATATTAGGTGTAAATGCAATGATGGGTACAAGAGGAATAACACCTTTGGTTGTAACTTATATGATGTTTTTAGAGGCTCCAAAGACACCTGGAAATAGAGGATCTGGTGTCTGGTACAGAAGAAAAACTGACGGATAGAAAAGACAAGAAATGTTATGTAGATTATGGAAAATGTGTTTTGGATTAAATTAAAAAGCGGAAGATGTATGATTTTAATTATAGGAAATTTATACAAATATTGTATTGAGCAATGACAGTACAATTGTAATGAAGCAATATAAAATTGAAAAATGAAAAGTAGAAATTATTAAATAATTAAAAGTGTTTGTTGAAATACTGAGATGTAATATGATGGGGTAAAAGACTGTATATTGAAAAAAAAAAAGTTGATAAACCAAATTTTTGTACGTGCTTTACATTAACGGTACAATAAGAAATTGTTAAGAATTTAAAAGAGTATGGGATGTTTTATCTCATAGACAGAGACATTGCTGGATATGGTGGAAGAGAAGCCCCAGGAACCCAGAAGGAAGGTGGCGGCCAAGGTCTTGCTTGAGACTCGAATCCCAATCCATTAGACACTGTAAAAAGTGTAAGAGAAGGGAGAGGCCGTACCTTTATCTGACCTCACATGGACAGATATTCAATGGGTATCTTTAAGGGGCGAGTACATTGGAGCATGCCAACATGAAATAACCAATTTACTGCTTTTGCGGCAAAAATTTGGGCAGTACCTAACCATTGTGAAGCAGTGTATAAAAATTTGGCCCCAACATGATATAATAAGAGATTTGGTGCTTAGAGAAGATGTGTTGAAACCAAAAAAGGGAAAAATTTGGATTAAAGAGTACATGAACGTAAAAGACCAAAACCTTTGAAGGGTATATGCACATGAAAATGAAAGAGTAATAAATGTGTTGGACTGAACCAGGAAAATAGCAAGAAGGGGGTGTTTTGGATATGGATAATTGTATTGCTATTTACCAGTTTCAATTTTATGTTATTTGCTTGTTTTATGTTAATGCCATATATGCTTTGATACAAAGATGCTTGCACTTGCAATACTTGCTTTGTTAGGATGAGTAAGCAACAGTAGTGAAAGACAGGCTTATGAGTTTGATGCTATGTAATCAACCACAAAAGTTAAAGGGGTCATATGATGCGATTTCAATTTTTCCTTTCTCTTTGAAGTGTTACAAGCTGTTGGTGCATAAAGAAGATCTGTAAAGTTGCAAAGACTAAAGTCTCTTTATATATATATTCTTTATAAAAGTTAAGAGTCAACCACGCCTACCTAAAACGGCTCCTTCTAACACCTCCCCACATGTCTGCGTCA